GCCAACTAGTGGTCAGAGGCTGAACTACAACATAAAAATGAACGGTTGGCAAGAAGGTTGACATTTTCAACCTTAATTAAAAATCGATACAGGGCTTTAGAATATCGATACAGTATCGGGAAATGAAATATCGCGATATTTCAGTGTGTCGATATTTTCTTACACTCCTACAAGGAACGCAACAAACCTGTCTTCTTCATAAACTTGTGTTTTATAATCACAGCATCTGGAATACTGATCAGCTGTGCACAACTGAATTATGCTTTTTAAATAATCTCCTAATTTCTCTGACATGCACAACCTACTCTGACTGAAAGTTTCCACTGGTTCCTTTTCAGTTCTCTGAAATCCTAAAATCCAGATGTGCAACACACAATAATAATAAAAAAACTGAACATTGTAAATAAATTAAGAATTTTATTATGTTTTTGTAATTGAGCAGTATGGACTATATCATATGGATAGAAGTAATAAAAGAGGTGGAGGAGTTGCTTTGTTTATAAATACTGACATATATGTTAAATTGTCAACAGATGTTAATAATGTAATAGATAAATTACAGTTAAGACAATAAATGAAAACTCTAAAAATATAGTAATTAGTTGTGTGCATCGATCACCAGGTTCAAAAACAGAATTATTTACTGATAAAATCAGGGAGCTCTCTGAAATGAGCTGCAATAAATCGGTTTTCTGTGTGGGGATTTCAATATTGATTTGGGAAATCAATCTGACTCAAATACTAATAATAGTACATTTATAAACTCAATGTAAAGTTGTATCTGTATATACTGACCAACAAGAATCACAACTCACAGTGATACAGTGACTGACAATATTTTTACTAATGTAAGAAATGGAGAGGTGATGAGTGGGCTCTTCATRACTGATATAAGTGATCATTTGCCAGTTTTTGCCATTTGTAGAAATTTGTGCTGTGATGTAGTTGCTACAGTGGATAGGAAAATTATAAACACATAAAAAAAGCTTTGGACAAACTAAAAATATATTATATATAAAATATATATGTAAATATATATTTTTCTGCAGTTGAGCTCAGATTCTGTATAATTTGAACCCTTTAATAGAAAACTGTTGATGTTTAACTCTCCAGATCCAAAGATTAATGCAGTGCTGGCACTGATTTAAAAAGATATTTAGTAAATTAATCCATATTAATCTCATATAAATTGCATTTGCCTCATTACTTTGTTTAAATGTGTTCATTTTCTGGAACCAAAGTGACGAAGATGCTAAAAATTAAAGGTCAAAAGCTTTATTTGCCCATTGATATATCTTATTTAACTATTTAATATTTTACTGCACAACATGAACCTATAACAGAAAATACACACAGAATACAGACAGTATGAATATTTATACTAAAGCAAAAAGAGAAATCTATACTTTGCACAAAAAGTAAGAACATGTGTGTTTGATTATTTCTGTTGGAACAAAAAAAAAACTTAATCTACCTGAATCTAAACCACTAGAAAATACTAAAAAACATTATTCTATTTTTACTCACCTGAAAATTTGTTTATTTACTGTACCTTTATTTAACCAGTCAAACCCAGATCTCTTTTGCAAGGAAGGCCTGAAGGCAGCCTGATCTGCTTTATTTTGGTTTTCAATATTAACTATTGGGTGCTAAAGATTTTTGCACTGAAACTGAAACTATCTGCAAAAGGAAACTTCAACCACACCTGTCACTCATCACATCAAACAACAGATTAAGTCATATTGGGTCAAACTAAACCCATTTTCAGATCCTTGGCTTTTTAAGCTACATTTTAATAACTGGATCATCCTGACATCTGATTTGTCTCAATAATCAGAAATCAGTCTGGATTTAATCCTGAACAAATTCTAAACGTCACTTGAAAGAGCAAACCTCAAACCATGACTGGATATCACAGTTTCCATAGAAGAGCACACAGGGAAAGAAATGTTTTCAGTTAGTTGTTGGCCCTGCACAGAAAAGTGCTCCAAGACATTTCCTTCAGACATTTCAAGGCCTCGTAGATAAAGTATTTATATTCATCATATTTTATCATTGCAGATTCATCAGCAGCTAGCTGCGTCTCACTGCGCCACTTCACTTCACCCTCGCTTCGGTGTGACGGGGACATTTGTGGTGGAAATGTTTTTAAAGTTGTGAGTTGGTCTGAAGGAGAACTAAAAGATGAACGCAACAAAAGGTGGAGGCTGCTGTGAACACATGAATGAAATAAAAAGTGTGAACGTGACGAGGGCAGGGATGCCCGTTCCTCCTGCGTCCTCCTCCTGCAGGCTGTGGGGGGGTCTCACCTGTGGAGTCCACCCTGTCTAGGTGGGAGACGGGGGTGGCGCAGGCGTGCGAGCGTTGGTGCCCGCTGCCCTGGTGATAGAGGTAGCTGCGCGTCGGYGAGACCAGGCTGCCCATGTGATAATGGTGGTGATGGTTATCGAGGGAATGGATGGGGTGAGCACTAATCACAGCTGCGGATGGAAATGGATACATGAACACAAACAGGATGGGACGTTTAACCAGCGAACAAATCATGATGGATGAAATGAACGTGGTGCAGCTGACATGCATTCATGAGATAAACRGAAGTGATTACTCTGCTTGTTGAGGAAGCAACAAACTCACACAACAAACGTCAAACATTTGATGAGAAGCTCTGAAGTGTTCTCTATAATAACGACTCACTATGTGTAGATCATGACACGCTCACACACACTCAAACACACACTTACGCTGAGGCGGCTGYGCGTCAAAAGGCATCATCATCATTTTAGGCCTCATCCCTCGTCGGCCTGCTAGTGTGGACATGCTGTCTTCTGATTCGTGGCCTAAAACGTACGGTGGAAACCAGCCAATCAGAGACAGCTGCTATTCTAACGTTCTTTTTGATGAGAATAATCCATCTTTATCTGAGAATATTCATATATTACTGTTTTGATTGCATTTCGATTAAATATTAAGGTTTAGATTAGGTGTGTTGTACAACCCCAGTTCCAAAAAACAACAACAAAAAAACAAAAAAAACAAAAACACAAAGGGTCATTTGGCACATTGTGAAACTGTTGAACAGCTTGACAAGAACGGGATATTTCCCTCCAAAAACTCCAGCAGCTGGTCTCCTCAGTTCAAGGATGTTTACAGATTGATGAATGGTGATAAACACAAACCTTTCTTCACTTTCTTTGCATCACTGTAGGGATGCACCGATATGAAAATTTCAGCCGATATCGATATCCAATATAATTATTGCTGTTATGGCCATTAACCAATATTTACCGATATTACACAAACACACAAATTATATTATACATATACGCACAAACACACTTGGGTCTTTTCTGATACCATAAATAATCAACCAGACCTCTGACATGGCTCCCTACTTCAGTTATTCCTGGCTGTGCAGCATCAGTATCACTACCATGATCAAACCGATGCAGCTCAACCAGCCATCTCCCAAAACAGAAACTAAAGCTAAAAAGTGGGAAATCAATATCGGACATTAATAYCAGCCCAGTTTTACATATGTAAACTGAAGAATAGAATACTGATATTCTAAAAAAATGACCAATTTTATTATTTTATTTATTTTAATTATTATTATTTTTATTTATTTAGGATCCCCATTAGCCCTTGCCGTAATAAGGGTTACTCCTCCTGGGGTCCTTAAAAAAATAACCAATATCGGACGATACCGATATTAGTGCCGATATATCGTGCGTCCCTATATCACTGCATAAAGTTTTATTTCAATTTCGCTCACTGTCCCAAAGGTTTTTTTAGAACTGGGGCTGTACGTGCATAAAGTGGAGACACTGTTACGTGTGTGCAGCACTATGATATGTAATGAGCATCATTCGCCATGAAAAGCATGAAATGTTTGGCATGACACAAAGAGACATGACATGAGAAAAAGTCAACATCTCAAAATCTTCAGGAATCCACCAGACAGGCTCCTGGAAGAAAACCTGCAGGTGTTWTCAAATTTCCTGACAAAATAATGAACTCCTTCCTTGGTCAGGCTCTTAAAATCCTATTTCCTGTCTGCCAGCCCGGCTCCAGACTTTACGCTCAGTGTTATTATGTATGTGCGCTCAGGCAGTGAGGGTGACATTTTACTTAAAATTTCTTTTTCCAAAACATCAAATTCTTCCCTTTGGGGGAAAAATAAAATAAAAAAATAAAAACTGACCACGGTAGGAATTGCGTCTTTGCTGCAGGTGGGGGTTGCTCTCCAGGCCGCTGTCAGCCGGCGTGATGTCTTGTGAGCTGCGCGGGATGGGCGTCTCCGTCATGACAGGGTTGGGCTCCGGCGACTTGTCCATAGGTTTCAGTTCCAGCCTCTCGTGATGAATCCAAAGATCAGGAGGCTTCAGATCCTTGGAGTTCCCCTTGTATTTGTGGGAGCCGTTTGAGGACTTCGAGGCCGCCCGTTTCCTGTGAGAGACAACAGAACCAATCAGAGACCTCTCCTGTAGAGACGGTGGACAAAGTGCGAGGCAGAAGAGACACAGTGAAGAGCTGAGCTGTAGCAGAGGAAAAAGTCATATTTGACATTTTCAGTTTCTTTATCCAAATCAATAAATACTGTTCAGATGAGGCCCTGCTTAWACTGTATGTGGCGTTCCTCAAGGGTCTATTTTAGGACTTATTTAGTTTGCATGTTAGATGCAGCTTTTACAGTCCCTTCAAATAAAAATTCTTTCATRTACTGTATTTAATTTTATCTGCTCCTGAAAATAAAGATTTTAAAAGCAGGGTTCATGCAGGTTTCAGTAAGTTAAATTTAAGACCTTTTTAAGACCCTTAGGAATAACATTTAAGACCAAACCAACACATTAACAGAAACATTCAAATGGTCCCAGAAATTTTAACACTTAAACMTTTTATTGCTATCAGTTTAGTTAGTAAAGAATATTTAAATTTAATACAAGAACACTAAATAATTTGAATTCAAACAGAGTGCAAAAGCCAAGTCTAATTGAAAACACACTTTTCCGTGTTTAAATGACAAGTAGTGAGCATGAATGAACTTCTTTTTTTTCTGGGCAGGTGAACAAGCTGTTGTAGCGAGGGGTTGTAGTGGCAAAGAGGTCGAAAACATGGAAGTAAACTGTGTCATATTTTGCCTGCAGTTATCACAGGACTTGTAGTTTAGTGTACAAAGGAAGGTAGCAAACGTAGCACTTCATGATGACAGATGGCTCTTTACTCTGTTTATGCAGCAAACGCTTCTCGGAAATGATTGAAAATAAAAAATTAAGAGTTGACGAAATAAAATTTAAGACCTTGAATGAAAATCTGGGTGTTTTTAAGACTTTTTAAAGCCTAAAAATTTGATTTTCAAATTTTAGACTTTAGACTTTTTAAGACCCTGCATGAAACCTGTAAACGAGTTACTGCAGCGTTTCCATGACTGTTTAGACGAGAATTACAAAACAATTATTTAGATGGTTCTATAAATGTTACGGTTTTAGAAGGACATGAAATCTCAGGGCCACAGACACACGCTCTGACGATGAAACTGAGTTTTTAGATCTGAGAATAAACATTTAATTGAGAACTGGGTTGGGTTTTCTGCACATCATTCATGCGGTCCGCACCACTTTGCACCTGTTATACGCTCATTAGGAGATCACTTGTAACACTAATAATCAATATAAATGTTCAGTTTGCACATCAGTTAAGTGTTTGTTATTTGGGATCTTAGCAAATCAGACCCTGTTTGTCATCATTTGACTTTGATGAAATGATTTAGAGGGAAACATGAAGCTCTAAAAACCAATCCCTGGACAAGAAAAGGTGYAACTTTTAGTGAATATCTTACTTCTTCTGGTGGTTGGTGGTGCGTCGTGTGCACAGGAAGGCACCCACTACCACGACTATGGTGGTGAAGGCTCCCACCGAGATGATGACGACGATGACCAGGATGTGATTCTCACCACCAACGCCTGTTTTACCTCAAGAAAACAGAGATTGGATTAGACGCATGTATATAGACATCTTTATTATCCCTGATGAGCCGCTGATAGGAAAAAAATGTAAAATGTTAAACTTCAGAATGAACAAATGATTATAAACCTTTGATAATATTTTCTTTGGTGCAACATTTGATACAGAAATGTTGCCTCTAATAGAAAAGTTTAAAATCCATCAAGAAAATTCCAGATTTGGGGAAACAGGCTTCATATCCTGACTGCAGTTTTGCTCATTTCGTAGAGGCATGTGAGCTGAAAAGGACTTTTAGAAACCAAAAGATGGTTTTAAAATCTTACCAAGAGGAGTCCCAGAGTCATTTGGATTCTGGCTGCCTGGATGTCCTGGCTTTGGTGGATTTGAGGCTGTGAAAAAAAAAGTTTTAAATTCCACTCCTAGAGAACGTAAAAGCCTAAAAAGAAAAAAAATCTACAAGCATAAATGCGTTTTTGCCAGCATGCAGTGCAGTGTAACTTATCATCAGCCCAGAAAAACCAGACAGAGGCACGTGAGGTGTGAAGTGAGAAGAGGGAGTTTACCTTGGTCATTAGCCATTTTGTCAGAGGACTCAGCTTAACAGGCCAAAGGAGAGCAGGGAGGAAGAGACGATAAAAAGCAGAAAAAAAAAAAATAAAAAGAGAAAAAGAAACCAGTTAGCTGAGAAGAGCAGCGAGGGACAGGGAAATGAAGGGAGAGGTGGGGGTTGTGGGGAGGAAGAGGAGGTAAAACTACAGAAATGATTTCAAATTAGTGGGAAAAATCAAACAGCTGGTGAACAGAATGTGCTGCAGAGTCAGGCTGGTATTAGGAGCAAAGCATCAATACAGAAAGAATTATGTTGCACAGTAGTGATTTCCCATATTTCACAAAAACATTTTATAAAAAAAAATAGAAAAAAATTCCCTATCAGATATTGCAACCTAAAAACACAACAAGCTGCATGTGCCTCTGTATTCTCATGTCTCGTCATGAAGATGAGATTTAGTCAGATTAAAAAATATCCAGCAAAAGGTCTGAATGATCCAAGTCGCTGCAAGAAACAAACATTTCTGATGTTCTACTTGAATCAGCTTTATGATGCAGAAAACAGGTGACACAGTCAAACCATGCGGTTCTTCTTACTCTTCGGCGTGCGGAACTGTACGGCCTCAGACATGGGGCCCATGCCCTTCGAGTTCCGGGCCTGGATCTTGAAGTAGTAGGTGGTGTCCAGAGTCAGCTCCTGGATCTGGTGCGTGAGGCGGTTTCCCACCACCGGCTCAATAACCCAGTCATGAACCACTGCGTTAACGTCCGTACTGTAGTAGATAATGTAACCTAAAATGACACAGCAGGAAAAAAAATGTATTCTTTATTTATTATAACAATGTCCATTAGAAGACAGAATTAATGGTAGTTTCTAATATAAGCAATAATTAGAATCTATGTTTCAGGACTATTTGCTCAAACGTGTCATTAATCTCAACATCAGAACCACTTTTTGTTTACAAATCAAACTGTTAGATGTGGATCTGTGTGTGGCTTAAAGGCAAAAATGTTTTTACTCTTCTTATTGTTGATAAAAAAATTTAAATGTTAAAAAACACTTCTAAAATCTAAAATACTCATAGCAAACATTTGTGGCTTTAACCAAAGTTCTCTGCTTTAAAAACGTAACACATTTGCTCATATTTGAACACATATTGAGCCTCATGCAAGAACATGTTCGTATTCTTATCCTAAATTTCTCTTACTTTTGTTCGTACAAAGAGTTCGTACGAACATGTCACGTCAGATTCAACAAACTCTTCTATCTTCAGGAAACGTGCGTAAATGAGCTGCGTAAACTGATGAATGCGTATCTGGTGTTTGCGCACAAGGAGAGGAGATTTGCATAATTATCATCCTAAAAATACCATATGAGGCTATGTTTCCTGCCCGACGTACCAGGAAATGTCCATCTATAAGTGACATTGCAAAGTAAAATAGAAGAACTTTATGAGTTCGGAGACTGAAGTCCTGCTTTCAGAGATCCAGAAAAAAAAATCTGTCATTTTTAGCAGTGTCAGACCTGCTAAAGCCGAGGAATGAAATAATGACTGCTTGTTGTGTCTCCTGTCACAGAAATAAGAATCATTTACCGGTAGAATCTCTCTCTGTAGTCCAGCTCCAGTTTTTCTTTGGTCAAATATTTTTAATTTAAGTGTAAACAACTGTGTTACAT